ATTTTTATTATTGGAAGAGGATTCATCGTAGGAAATTACATGCACGGTACACCCACTATAGAGAAAGAGCCTCCCCAGTTGTCCATCCTTGTGACCATGGAGGAAAGATGGTGTGCTGAAGATCTATAAATGTCAGTGTATCTTCCTATTGTTCCGTCTCTCCATGTTCGTGGTTTGTGTGTGCAAAATACCTCACTATTGTCCATGTTATTGTCTCTAAAGGAAGTCTGGGTCCCTGTACCCGATCCAGACAATGACTGGTACCCACAGGTCTAGTCTAGGGAGCCATGGATCCTGAAGTTGTGATGTATGGTCTCAGGTCCTGGGTATCATCTACTCCACGGAAGAGTGGGTCATACAGACTTGACTTCAGAAAAGACAGGCAGTTCCTGGAGTAGACAGAATACTCTAGAGAAAAGCCCTGGCCTTATGAACACCTGAGCCTTCTCCTAACGCCCAACAAGTGGGCGCCCTCAGCAAGCAGGGTTCCCATCTTCTTGACCCAGGCAGCTCTGTCCTCAGATTCAGTGTTCTTCTTCCCTCAGTGGCCCGCGCTGGTGTGATTTGCCCCTCTGCCAATCTTCTGTGGGGCAGACTGACAAGGAGTCAGGACTTTCTCACCCCGGGACAGGCAGAAACTCCCCTCCCACATCAGGGTTTTCCCTTAGAGAACACGCTATCTTTTCGATGACTCCCGGTTTGAAGGAAAGAACAGGAAGACAGCTCCAGCCGGGAGAGGGTCATTCAGAGGAGGGCTGCCCACTGGGCCTTCCAACCACATCTAGGACAGACTGGAGGTGATGGAGAGAGCTTAGCTGTCCCCTTTCCCGGTCCCCAAAGGCCCGGCTTTCCCTAAGGGACTATCTCAGGCTTTGTCCTTCTGATTTGCCAGTGACTTGGAAAACACGGAATAACACCGCCTAGAAAGTACTCAAAAGCTTGATAAGGCCACCGGAAGTGGCCGCTACTGCTTCTTCATTTTAATCCATTACTCCTACCCTATCCACACCCTTCGGTTTGAGTTGCATAAATTCCTTCCTTGGTGTTTACATTTTCAGATGTCTGAGAACCACCACGCAGCCACCTGACCCTCAGGCCTCACTAGTGTGGACTGTATAGCACATAAAGGACAACACACGGTCACCATGTGTGCCTCAGACGCCTCACACTCAAGCTGGGTCTTCTTCCTTTGTTGGCATCAAAAAACTTTGTGTGTGGAGGACTCCATTTTGACAGGCCTTCTTTCCTTCCTTCCTTCCTTCCTTCCTTCCTTCCTTCCTTCCTTCCTTCCTTCCTTCCTTCCTCCTCCCCTCCCTCCCTCCCTCCCTCCCTTCTTTCCTTCCCTCAGGCTGGCCTCAAATTTACTATGTGGCCTAGAGTAAGTAACTCATCCTCTCCATCTCCTGAGGACTGGGATTACAGGAATGTACCGCCATGCCAGGGTTATGTGGTACTAGGGATCAAATCCAGGGCTTTGTGTATACTACTGACTGAGTTACATCTCCAGCCCAGAGCAGACTGTGAGTTTTTGATTGTTTTTTTCAAGACAGGGTTTTTCTCTGAACTTGCTTTGTAGACCCAGCTGCCTCAAACTCAAAGATTCACCTGCCTTTGCCTCCCAAGTGCTGGGACTAAAGGTGTGCTCCACCACTCCTGGAGGGCTGTGAGTTTTCTTCTTGGTACAGAAAAGGGAATGGTGACAGGTCAGAGACAACCCTGCTTATTACCAGGAATCACTGAGTTGGTGCTCCTCTTGGGGAACACACCAGCACACACACCTCCAAGGGGTGATGAAATATTTCTGAAATTCCCACCACTGACGCTTAGCGGTTTTTCTTGTTTTGTTTTTGTTTCGTAAGGAGGTACATACTTTAAACGGCTAACACGACAGACCTCTATCAAATTCCCTCTTGACACTGATTTTTTATCCAGCAAATAACACCTGAGCAACTTTTGGAAGCCCAGAGACCTAAGGCCTGGAGGTTCACCTGGCGCTGTGGAGGGAATCATCCAACTTCGTTCAGTGCAGGGAGCTCTGTTATCAAGTACTTGGCTCATGACCCCATTGTGAAGCATCTACCAAGGAGAAGCGAGAAGCTCACTACTACAAGCAAATTGTGATCTCATTTGCAAACTGCTGGTGTGAGCACTGCCATCCTGCAACCTCAAGCCACAGCCGCCCGCCCTGCCCCCCACCCCACCCCCAGCGGAGCACAGCATCTCATCCTTCACACACCTGAAATAGGTGTGTGCTCCCTTGTGGCTTTTATCCCGGGGTAGGAACATCCTCAGACGCTTCCACGTTCATAAGGCAACATGACCTAAGACCAGCACGGTCCAGGACACCATGTCTCACGCCTCTGTTTCACACCCAACAAGACGAGGAAACACAACACCCTTTGACCCTGCACCCCAGGGGTCCCAACAGCTGAGCTTACAAGAGAGTCTGAGCTGGGTCACTGAGAGCCTTCCTTTCCTCTTCCTCAGTATAAGAGTCTACCTTTAAACAGTCATGTCTTTGGCTTGGGATGCAGCTCAGTTGCATGCACAAAGCTCTGTGTTTGATGCCCTGCACTTAGCAGGTGGGAAGTCAGAAGTTCAAGGTCATCCTAGGTTACATAGTAAATTTTCAGCCAGCCTGGGCAACAAAAGACTCTGTCTTAAAATAAACAAATAAATATATAAACAAAGTTACTTCCTTAGATTGAATTATTACATATTCTGAAGCCCAGGTGACACCTTCAGATACCCCTGAAGGGGCAATGTTTTAAACCTCCACCATCTTCTAAGAATTTATTTATTCGGCAACTTGTATTTGAACTTAGATTCCAGTCTTGACTTTGTCATTTCTCCAGGCAAGTTACTTAATCTGTCTGGGCAGAAAAGAATTACTTAGAAGGAGGTATATGGGTTTGGACATGTAAAGGCAACAGTCATTCATTTTAGCCAAGTGTTTGGAACTTCTGGCAAATACATACTTTTTTTTTTTTTTTCTTCCCATGTCCTCTACAGTTCTGAGGAAGCAGTCCTGGTTTCTCTAGATAAAGAGTGAGTCCTGGCTGGAGCCTGAGCTTAGGTCCAGACTGCCTAGTTGAAATAACTGGGTGAGGTCTTTCTTCATTTTTGTTTTGAGACAGGGTCTTACTATGTAGCCCTGGCTAGCCTGGAAGTCACTATGTAAGGTAGGTCAGGCTGGCCCCAAACTCACAGAGATCCACCTGCCTCTCTCCTGAGTATGATTATGTACTCTTTAAAATCAGTGTTGTTATGCTACCCCTATGAAATATTTTGAGGCATCACTCTTGAAATAAAGTCTAAATAAGATCTAAAACTTAGGTCTCTCACTGTGAGAGGCACTTTTTCCCCCTTCGAATACTTGGAGAATCTCCTAGAAACTGTAACTATTGCTTCCAAGGGGAGCAATGAAATGTAAGTGGCCCCAGCCTTGACCCTAGCTGGGACAGAGGAGCCCCAGCGGGCCTACAGCACAGCTCCAGGGCTGGGGCCAAGGCTGTTCACAACTGAGTGTGCTTCAGGCACCCAGAGGGCTTGTTAAACTGCAGTCTGCTGCTCTCAGCATGCAGCCTGCAAAAAGCCCTGCTTGGCTGAAAGGCAGAAACAACCCAAGTGTCCGTCAGGAGTTAATAAAGAAGATGTGGTATGTCCATACACTGAATATCATTCGGCCATAAAAGGGCCAAAGTGCTCCTTTGTGCCATGATGTGGTTGAGTTTTGGAAATATACCACGTGAACTCAGCCGGATACAAAAGAGCACACGTGATTTCACGTGTGTGAAATATCTAGAAGAGACAAGCAAATCCCCAGAGGGAACAGAAGTTCTCAGGGGCTGGAGGTTTGGGAAGTAATGAGTTTTTGCTTATTGATTCTTTAGGGCGATGACAAAATTTTGGCAACAGAGACCAACGACAGCTCCACAGCACTGCAGATGCCATCAGACTGCATGCTTGCAACGGCAAATGCCATGCCACATGCATTTAGCGTACACCAGTAGTCTAACCCCTAAGCTCCCTAGCCCTCCCTCCTAAATCTGGCTGAGTTCAAGAAGCTTCGTTTATAATGCGGCCCCAGGTAATGCTGGTGACTTGGGAGCTGACATTTTAATTTCTTGCTCTTTTCTCAAAAGAAGGAGGCTCGGCAAACCTCTTCCTTCTCTGTTCTGCTGGCTGTCTGGAAATGTCCGAGCTCCTGGGCCTGTGTACCAATGTCAACACAGGCCGGAAATTATTTAAAAAAAAAAAAAAAATCCCAGCCTGATATTTTGCATTCATGCCGACCAAAGGCTCTTGGCTGGACCCTGCAGATCTTGCCTTTTGCTTCTGACTCAGTCCCGAGCCTCTGCTGGACATCAGGGACACTCTTAATCGACAGCTACCACAGCAGGGCAGAAGCAGACTCCAATTTAATGGGTAGTGGCGGGGGGGGGGGGGGGGGGGGGGGGGGGGGGGGGGCGGCAGCGGAGAAGTCCTCACTCAGGCCTTGCCCCCAGAAATTATGTCCCCAACTCTAAACCCACACCACCAGTGTTGATTCCTAGCAGGACTTGAAGACATGCTTGCTACACAACGATTCAAGGGAATGTGTGTTCCAGGCCTCAGACAGCAGCCCGAGAGAGACACCTGTGCAGGGCACAGAGGACGGAAGGCAGATGTCTCCTCTGGGGTCTGGCAGACTGCTCCAGAGCTCATGTTTCTGGAATCCTCTTTTTTGCTGTTCTTGGGTTCACCTCAAGTTCACTGGTTTTCCCGATGGTATTGCTTAACTTCTTCAAATTTAATATATTTTTATTCGTGTTTATTTGAGTGTTGTATTTCTACACATGCACGCTTAATTGAGCTGAGTGTGCTGGATGCATTCCCTGCAGAGGTAAAATCTCTCCCCCCCCCCAGAAAGAGCAGCGTCCCCCCCCCCTCAGCATCCTGACTTCAATGGCTGACATATAAATATTCATGACCATACAGGTGAACCTAATTCTGGCTGGCTGGCCATCGTGCGGAGCTGGTCCTTCCCCTGGGCCGAGGGAAGGCGATCATTTTTATTCAGCAAGCAGACAGCACTTTTTTCCCCCTCCCCAACTTGCTGGGCTGTCATGTTTAAATATGAAAATGTTGCTTATAGCCAAATGTTAGTGACAGCAGCCTGTGGCGTCTATCATTGTTTGCACTCTCACTCCTGCTAAAAATAGGCTTGCTCTCTCTGGATTCCTTCAAGTTCCACATCTGCAGGAAGTTTTTGTTGCTGTTGCTGGCCTTTTCCTTTCTTTCCTGAAGATTACTGTTCTTTGGCTCTGCCAGGGTCCCCTCCCTCTCCCCTTCCCGGGAAACCACCAATAAACATCCCAGGCTCAGATGGTTCAACAAAGGCCTCACGGGTGTTCTCCGTTATTGCCCCAGCCTCCCTTCTGCAGTCTTAGGAACCGAGGGAGGTGGGCAGCAGCAGGGCAGAAAGAGCCATCTGACCTTCAGAAGCAAAGCCTGAAGTCTGAGGCTACAGGCCGGGCAGCCAGGAAGGGGGGAACCAGAAGGATCGGCTTCTGGGACTCTCCATGGAGCTCGCCAAGCAGACAGCTGCTCCCACCAGCATTCTGGAATCATTCCGTCTTCTAGGTATGAAAATCACACTCTACAAATGTAACCTAGGTAATAATGTATTCATTTAAAAACTACCAGGGGGACAAATGTTTAATTCTTTTCAAGGCAAGCATTCAAAATTGTTTTTATTAATTCTCACTCCAGCCCTGTGTGTGGTGTGTGTGTGTGTGTGTGTGTGTGTGAGAGAGAGAGAGAGAGAGAGAGAGAGAGAGAGAGAG